AACTCATTTTATGCTGGACAGCCTCCATTGTCAACTTGACACACCTGGGAAGAGGGAATCTCAGTTTTGAAATTCCCTCTATCAGACTGGCCTGTGGGCATATCTGTGAGGCATTTTCTTGATTGTTGAGAGATGTAGAAGGGTCCAGCCCACTGTGGGTGATGCCACCCCTGGGCAGGTGGTCCTGGGTTATATAAAAAAGCAGACTGACCACAGGCCAGGGGAGCAAGCCAGTAAGCAGCGTCCCTCCATGATCTGCGCTTCAGTTCCTGCCTCCAGGTTCCTGCTCTGAGTTCCTGCCTTGGCTTCCCTTGATCATGGACTGTGAGCTATAAGCAAAATAAACCCTTTCCTCTCCAAGTTGCTTTTGGTCAGTACTTTATCACACCAATAGAGAAGCCAAATGGAACACATTTCATTTACGTTTAAATAGCATGTAAGATGATCAAATGTACCTTCAATATACTCTTGATAAGATTTTAACTTGTACAGTCATTTAGGAACTTGACAAAACACATTAAAACCCCTAGAATTATCCATGTTACTAATATTTGATACAGTAATGCCACTTCAAGTCACCTTAAGCCTATAATAAAATGAAAACTACAATTTTCCCTTGAAAGGGATTTAATACAGCCTGGGACCAAACAGTTAAGGCCTGGCAACCATCATATCCCCAAATTACCTATTTTCCTCTTTGACAAGAGGAACTATAATCTAGACATCTAGCAAACATCCTGAATACAAGACATTGTTATTAATGATAGTGTTCATGTTAGGCACAGGATCAGTGATCCCTAGACATGTTCATCCTATGAATCTATTTTGTGCCCGTTCATCTACAACCCTCCACTTTCTCTCTCCTCCCCAAATGCCTGTGGTAACCACCGCCTCATTATCTATCTCTGATTAGCATGATGTTCCTCAGTTCATTCAACTTGTTGCAAATGGTAGAATGTCCCTTCTAAGCCTGAACTGTGTTCTTTTGTGAGCAAGTGTCACATTTTCTTTATCTGTCCACTCATCCATTTGGATGGTCTCTGTATCTTCGCTATTGTGAAAAGGGTTGCAATAAGTGAGGGAGTACAGATTCTTTAAAAGGTGGCGATTTCATATTCTTGGGAATATACCCCAAAGACGGACTGTTGTGGAAAACACTCTCAAAGTTCCAAAAGAAATTTAAACTAAAACTACTGTACAGTTGAGACTGTTTCTTAAGCCACAGTGGCTTACAGATACTAAACCTTTATACCTGAGGTCTTGTGCATTCCTTTAATTTTAGAAAATATATCTCCCTTTTTTCCCAAATATTTCTATCATTTTTGCTTCTTTCTTTTCAGGATTATTGTATTTTTCATCCAGTGAAGAGAGATAGCTACAATGGTTCAGTCCCAGCTTTATTGAGATATGATTGATCTATAATAACTATGTATATTTAGGAAGGAGATGTGATATTTTGACATATCTATACATTGAGGAATGTTTGCCAAGATGAAATAATTAGCATACTGATCACCTCATCCTTTCTTGTGGTAAAAACACTTGAAATCTTTTCTCAGCAGATTCCAACAGTCAATACTTTACTATTCGCTGTAATGATCTAAAAGCTGATCCCCTGACTGCTGCTCTCTCCTGACCTGTAATCTCTGGTACCACCAGCTGCCTTCTCTATCACTGTGGGTTTGACTTTTTCTTAAATTCTACATTTGAGTGAGGTCTTGCAATATTTCGCTTCCTATGTCCAACTTATTTCAAGGTCCATTCATCATGTCACAAATGGCAGGATATTTTTTCATGTGTGAGAAACACCCTATTATACATGGCCCACAATTCTTTACCCATTCAGCAGTTGATGGGCACTTAAGCTGTTCCAGGATCTTGACCACTATAAACAGTGTCGCAATGACAATGTGACTGCAGATGTCTTTCAACATACTGATTTCATCACAAAACTACTAAGCTGAGTTCATCAGTAAACAAGGTGGCATTTCCCAGCTCTGAGCACGGATTCAGTGAAGTCTACATGGGGACTGTGCTTTTTATTCTGTGAGAGCTAGAATCAGTCAGACACAGGCCACAGGCAGAACACCACCTCCAGTGAACATAATTTCTAAGATATTGGAGCTCCCCAGGGAGCTCTTTTGCAACTTTAGCACAAAATTCAATCACCTAACATATTTATAAATTTAGGATATGGTATCATAAATTTTCTACTATGCTACAGATGTGTTTAGCCCAATCTCTTGGAGAAATGTAAAATGAACAAAGAGGGTTTTATCTGAATGAAGTAATAAACAACTGGCATATTAGGAAATGGAAACAGGTCAGGGGCCTTCCAGAAGCAAAATGAGAGTTACTGGTGAAGGCCCTCCTGCCTGCAAGCAGCACTGACCAGAAAGGGCATGGCATTCATGGACAAGAGCTACTGCCTTCAAACCTGAGTCCTCTCATACCAAGGGCCGATAATAAGACAGCTGTGCTCACCAGCACATAGAGGCACCTTGGTAATAGAAGCATGCCCCTATCAGATGGTGAGATGTTACACATCTTATATACGTGGCAAAGGGCCAAAGCCAGTTTAGAGTACCACCACTGTGTTGGATTAGAGGAGCTGTCCAGAACCATATCTGAAAACCTTGACCCATGAGCACTGTGACAAACACGGGAATGGGCAGACTAGGGAAGGATGAACTTTCTACCAGGAATCACTGAAAGTGAAATCCCCAGAAACCCAGAGTAGAGGAGGGAAGCCCACCCAGTCCTCCAGTCTGAGAATTCCTCCAGATAACGTTACCAACGTCTTCCTTGCTCAGTCCACAACATTGCCTTCCCCTTTACCAATCTCATGTCCTCCAAGACTGCTTTCATACCAGGATCTGAGGAGGGAGACTTGCTCCTCGGCCTGGATGTCTGTCACCACAGTGTCTCTTTCAGGGCAGGGAGTGGTGCTGACAGCCACAGAAGCCAGAATGGGACTTGACTTTGGGCACAGGCATCAGGGAGCAGGTGGGTACACGATGACGAAGTCGCTGTTTCTTAAGTTCCCATCCTGGCCCTGAGAAACGTTCTTCTCGGGCAGAGAGGGAGAGTTTCCTGTCAGTGTGTGGCCATCATATACACGCCCCAGAGCCTGTAGCCACCCCTCTGCAGAAGGGTCACTTACTGTGATCCTGGTCCCTAGATGGAAGCTGAAGGGGATGCAGGTGGAAGATGGCCCAGAAGAATGTTCTGCTTCCGTTCTGAGCACATGAGTGAAGGACATGTGGAAGTTAGAGAATGAATGAATGAGGTACAAACATCAAATAATAGAGAAATGAATGATTGAAACCACAAAGTAAACAACTACTTCACAGAATCTGCTCAACACTCTACACCTTCAGTCAGGATGCTAATAATGACAATGAATTCTCCATTGCTGTCAGTGACAGTGGCAACCATCACATCACGAATAGACAGTGCAGAAGACTAGAAGACTCTAAACACCACTCAGGGATCCAGAAAGTGTTGTGAGATGCTTTTAATTGTGCTGGTGCTACACAGACTTTGGACCACAGATGATCACATTCTAGAGGAAAGAAGACTTTGGCTGCATGTATCCAGGGTTTCCTTTCTCGCCAATGCCTAAACACAAGTGCTGTTAATGATGTTGAATTGGGTAATCCATGCTAAAGTCTCCACGATATAAGTGCAGCGCACCTGAAAAAAAAAATTATGAAGCATAAGTTAGACAAATGTAATGCACTGAAGCCATCTAGAATAATAGGGACTCAAGACTCACTAAAACCTAAATTTAAAAATTGAAGAAAAAGAAACGCTAAGATACATTAAACACATTCACCTGGAACAAGGCTCATAAAACTCAAGGATTCATGAGGACAAAGGACACAGGTTACAAAATCTCCCCGCCTGAGCCAGGGGCACCTGCCTAAGGCCATCACCCGCCACCCTGAGATGTCTTCTTCTCATAATTTCCATAGCACGTCTGATAGATGAAATTCTTCCCCTGCCCCAAGGGTCCTGAGAAGCCAGAATGCTACTTGAGAGATGGTCTGATCAGTCACCCCTCAACAGAATAGCAGCAAAAATTCATGCCAAATAAGGCTGTTTCAGGGCTATTGGTTAGAAGGTAAGACCACCCACAGACAAAGTCCCCCTGGAGAGCCCTGTCAAGGTCCCAGATCCCATGAGCACATGTTAGCTATAGCACAATGTTGTCACCAAGAATCATCCTTAAAGTCCAAAGAGGGAAAACCTTGGTGAGCAGATAAACTAAATAGTTCCCAATGCCCTAAGCCATGAACAAAGGAAGCCTGTAACCCATAGGGAAAGCATTACCTTCCTGAACCTCAAAGGTCTCAGAAAGCACAGGGCTTGGACCAGAAAGATGGCTTTATCACACATGAAGGCCACAGGTTGCCTGGGCCACCTGGGCTATGAGCAGATGGCTGCCCTAGTGCTGGGAGTCAGACTCTGTCTGCTTAAGATGGTCCCTTCGGCTTCCACCAAGGGAGTTCTGAGATGTGCTATACAAGGGATAAGACAGCTTCAGTCTGCCCGGATCACCCTACATCTTCCCTCCCAGGCCTTGCTTAATTATAATTTTTTATTCCCAAAAGATTGATGATAGTTGAGGTTTATTTAATATCAAACCCTTTTCTCTCCTGGGCCTTGCTGTAATGGGCAATTGTCAATGTCTTCATCATTTTTCTTACAAACTGTGCGGCCCATCTCCAAGTCTATTAAATATAGCTGACGAATCTGTCAAAAAGAAATTGTAAAACTGTTATAAAACACTTTGTTGGACTGATTAAAACAAAGAGAACCAAATATACAGTGAAAAGAGAGTGTGAAGTACAAACACAACAGTAAACAGCACAGAGCACACGCAATCTCATTTCTTTGTTGTTGTTTTACGGGGGGGGGGGTTGT